TATAATGCTTTTTCAACCCCTAGGACTAGTTCTGGAAGGAATATTAAAAACTAGCCAAAAGAAAGTCAGGCTTGTGCACAAATGGTTCTGTACCATTATCCATAAAAAAAAGTAAAATATGACATCACTACAATCTTTGATATAATTTCTAAGAACAGATCATAGTATATTTTATGATTTCACATTTTGTCATACTGTCCATTCTTAATGTTACACCATGTATATCCCTTCAGGGTAAATACTGATTGTGTAAGTTAACATTCAACTATGAACTTGTTATGTAATAAATACCTTATTTGTATAATAAGTGACTATTATATTACATTACATCTTTAGTAAAATTATTAATATGTACTCACACAAACTGATATTGTTGGCACAGCAAATGGTTTCAATGTTATTCTACTTCCTACAGTAGAAAATAAATGTTTTTCAAAGTGAATTGAACATATTCTTGCATGCCTTGAAGGCTCCCAATTCGGTCTTCCACAAGCTTTTATCCAATTTCTACGTTCAATTTCATGCGATGGAAACCTAAAATTCAAATACAATTTAATTAATTATATCTGTATAATAAATTTCATATTTTAATATGGAAAAATGAAGTTATTAAAATAATAATAATATGACTGAGTTACTGAAAAACAAAAATACAATAGCATAATTTTAGTATTTCCAAATAACAACATGATATTTAACTAACTCTGGAAGATATAATTCAACTTCACAATAAAGAGAATTAAGCGGAAGTTTAATATAACCAAGCAAACTGAACTGAAACACAAAAATAATAATACTTTAGTTTTCAAAATTTGATTTATTTTAATCAAAAGTTTAAAACAATCTTCTAGGTTCTTTTTAATCGCAATTTTTGACTATCTTACAAAATAGTTGTGATACGAACATTTTGATATATGCTAAATAGAATTTTTTATAATTTGATTATAAAGCAGTTTTGGGGAGATTTCAAACGCACAGATGACAGCATTAATAATTTCAGGTTATATTTTTAGCAAACATAATTTAATGATATTTTTAGCTTATTTCGGTCGTATTTAATAAGTTTCACATCGGTTATGATAATGGTAAACTGTCTATTAACTAAGATATTAACAAAACACTTCTAACTGACCTGTGATATGATACACCATCAATGCATCTTTCGGGTCTATTTTTACAAAATAAAACACTGCACATAACCATTGTTTTAAATTAAAAATAACGTCTCTTACGTCTAAACTTTACACAACATATAAAACACTCTTAAAATACACTTTTTCCCAACTTCTTTGAATAATTATGAATTCGACGACTAACTAGTAGTAAAATTTTGACATATTGGTCCCAAGCAAGCTTGGTGCCAAACAAACAAAACCGGTCACATTGATAAGGACAAAAAATAAATGTTTCCATCTCGCTTTAACTAATGGAAATTGTATTAAGCCATTTCTTTCCCCGATGAATGAGATAGAACATGTTATTCCGTCTTATACTTACTCTGTCTACGGTTCCGATATACACCGCGACCACTGAACAGTATGACGTCAATTTAGTATACTGGAAGCCCGTTCCTTTATAGCTAGTTATACTGGTGACTTTTTAAAACGGAACGCAGTCCAGTATACTGTTAATCCTATTTTTGGCGCCATTTTCAAATTTGTTAATGCAAGGTGAATATAATATAAAGATTCCCTCTTTTCAAAAGAAAATATTATAAAATTGTGTATAAAAAAATTATTTATCAATTAAATCCATCTTATAATAAACGTAATTTTTTTTTTGTTTATTTAGTAACTTATCATTTTCTGATTCTGTTTCGACTGATCACGTGATCAAAAGCACTGCGAGCACCTTATCTCGAAATCTCAAATGCTCACAGTACAAATATGGCGGCAATTTATAACGTCATAAATTTTCCTAGGGTACTGTAGCAGTGTACTGGCAGTCCATAACGGAACGGATTTTTCAGCAGTAAGACCACTGCGCAGTGCTCTCAGTGTATATCGGAACATACCCAATATTGCTACATTTTTTTACTAGTAAAGTGGTAAAAAAGTATTTTAATTATTCTGCATCGATGTTATAGGTTGAGAGGCGACATTTTAGTATATAAAATATTTAACCCTGAATTATCATAATACACAGAATTGACCTTATAACATTTAAAATTACAACAAGACAAAACAAATACATTTTCACTTTGAGTAAGATGTATTTAATTATAATTTTACATCTTATAAGTAATGCCTTAAGAATCGCAAGTAAACATTTTGTTAAAAAAATTAAAATAATTTTGCTTATGCCTAAAAAGCCTATAATTTAAAATTTAATTTTCTTAGACAAAAGAAACCGCTGTCCATAATGTTAGTATACAGATTGTCTATGTTCAGAACGTAGACAATCATACAAAATGTAAATAAAATTTAACATTTTACACTAATATTTAATTTTGGCATTACAAATGAAATACTAAGTTGAGCCAACAAAAAAGATAGTATAGAATATTTGTAATTTTGCTCAGTCCCCATGTCAACATGAGTGACATAAAGATGCATTTACTGCTTTACAGATTGTATCACTTCCATATCATAACAATAGGCTTGTGTCCAACAAGTGAAAATACAGGTTTTTGTTATATCTTCGAAAAATATGAACAATTTCAACTTATAAATGTTTAACAAAACAAATTTTAAGTCAATGATTTGGAAAATATTACGCTTTGGAAACTTGAAAAAGTACAGAAAATCTACTACAAAAATCTGCTAAAATACATAAGGCTTTAAATTAGATATAAAAAATGTTACAACTTTCATTATAACAGCTATAAACATAAACGCACAAATAACAAAGATATTACAAAAAATGTCCAGACGCCCATACATTTTTCGCTACTGTAGCACCATGTAACGTCACTGAGTGCTTTGAATTTGTAGGGAGCGTTTTCGGCCAACTAGCGGCAGTTCTACAAACACAGCACCGTATCTCCGAAACTATTTATCGCAGACATGCTGTTACTTCGATATTATTTCTCAGATGTTAATGGACTATTTATTTATGAAATAAAAAAAAAGTTGTCAACTAGCCTATGAATATATGAAGTCGTTTATTTTATCAAATTATAGACTATTTTTTGTGTTCTAATAAAAAAAGTAAATTTTATATTAATTTTGTTCTTTTGATGATTAAAATCAATGTAATCGAAGCTTGGAAATACATAGATATAATATTGTATAAAATTAGATTTGAGTCAAGTAGCCTATAGTATGAATGATTGACGAAGTCCGTATTTCCGACGAGCATGACCAGCATCAATTCAGAATGATGAAAAATATGGCGATACATTTGTAGCAAAATAAATAGTTGCCCCTTTGCATTGATTCACAATATACCTATCCTTTAATTTATTGCGATATTGCGGTACTTGAATAATATTGTGTTATGAAAGGAAATCTGGTATTTCTGGCACAGAGGTTTTTTGGCTTAAGAACATGTATGCATTTATTAACAAAAAATAAATTATTTTAAATAGAAATAGTTAAATCATCACGTATAAATAAACAAACTATATAAAATTTTATGGCGGGTGCCTGACACTAATGTTTTTTTTTTTGGTATTTCTCAATAAAATAAATGCGAATATTCCATGGAAGGCGAAATTTATTAAATATAATAAGCAATAAAATTATGATCGTAAAGTTATTCTGCATTCTTATATTATAAACTGAGTATTAATTCAATGAAACAATTAACGGTACACACTATTAAATTGTGGCAAAAAAGTGGTAAGACGTGAACTGTAATTTAATGCATAAAAGTCGAATTATAGTGACATAGGTTGAAGTTTCTTTATTTTTTAAACGCTTCCTCACTGTAACTGCTAGTTAACCGCTGTCATCACGCACCCAGCGTATAGACAATTCGATTAACTTGTTACGACACTATTATAAAGAAATAAAAGACCGAGAATGTAACTCTTTTTGAAACGTTGCGTAGTAAATAACCATTTATTTAAATCAGCCAGTTGCACAAACGTCCATTAAAATTGTCATTAGCTTAAAATTTGTTTTAACATTACCGATACGAATTTGATATTTATTAGAGCTCAAAAGCGGCATTAAACCCTAATTGCAATTTTTTGCAACTAACCGAAAGAAAAGTATATTTTGGCCATAATCAATGATATGATTTAAAAGTGTGCTGTTATCAAAATAACTTTATCATTATTTTCTTTTCTAATGAGTAGATTTAGTATCAAGTTACATTCTATCTTAATTTATGACAGATGTACACTGTAACTACACAAAACTCAAAAATTTTAGCACTCGACTTTAAACTTAATTGCGTATTACGTAGAGGTTAAAATCTATTGCAAAAACTTGACCTATGGAAACATGACGTCCAGACAGTAACAGAGTCATGCGTTTTTAGTTTGCTTTTTACGGCACACATCAAAAGAAACCTTGAATTAGTCATTTTTATAAACTCGAATGATACGAACAAGAATTTCTCAGGGTCTTTATACTTAGCATCGCCGTATGTGACTTTAGTTCCTGTTTGTAACTATGAGCTTGAGGATCACGCAATCACCCATTTCTAAGTGACGAAAAACTTAAGTAAGTAGAGATTTCACTACGAAAGAATGGATGGTAACAAAAAACCTTGAATTCAGCCTTGTTCATTGAACCATGAGTGCATAACGCGACAGTCATTTGGAATCCTCTTTAAAACCAATAGATAGTCTATTGTTTTATTATCTTTAAATTAAAATAACACATTTCAAAAAGTCTATACAAACGTCAAAACAGACATTAAAATACCTATTTATGATACTTATCTTAATTACAACTCCACCAAAATATAACGTAATAACGTCTGTTCATAATAAATTCAATATTGGAACTGATAATTTATTCAGGTGATAAAAGTTATATCTTATCACAATAGACTGTGTGTGCCAAGTGTTGGATTTATACCATGTAATGCATCTAGATTACGTACCAACTGTTTGCGGGACATGAAGTAGACACAAGTGAATCAAACAAGTTTATTGTTGTGGAACGTATGGAACGCAGTGAATTGACATTAAGTTTTCATAATTTAATCAAACGAGGTAGTGCTTGTTTAGCTAATTGAAAATTCATTTGCAATTCTTAATGTGCCTGAGTGACTTATTTGTGACAATCTACTAACAATATTATAATTACCTAAGTCCAGTAATAAATTTAAAAATAAATCAATAAATTTAAAAGTAAATAATTACAAACAATTTCTTTTAATATAAATTGAACAATGCCATTTTATTTTAAAGAAAACATATAATATCAAATGTAAATTCATTACAATAGTTAAAATTTGTAATTTTTAGATGAACAACTATACAGTTACACAAATTACGCTATGGAAACTCCTACACCCACGGGTGTACATGGAGATTGTATATCGGGATTCTTTCAAGGATTGGATTCATTATCACCGAGCAACGATCAGGACTTTGATTACAGCTTGGCCGTCCCTGAGTCACTATCCATTATAGATGTAGACAAGACAGATAATAAGGATGCAAATGATGTTGGTGAGTTAATGCTTATAAATGGACTGGTAGATTTAGTGTTATGACTTCTTCTATTCTTTAGTAGAATAATGAGAGAGAACAATGAGAAATTTTGAAAATAAATCAATAAGAAAAGACTGAAAAACATAATTTAATTGAAACAAATCAGTAATCATAACCAATCCTTTTTTTATATTCATATCGTTTATATTTCTTTATATGCTCTATAGCTTTACTATTTATACAATTTTTACTTTTACTTGTTTGAGAAATTACAATTTGTTAAGGTTTCCTTCCTTAAATGGTTCTCAATCTTATGTCTGAATAATTTTATGTCATTTAATAAATAAAAATATGATTTTTTTTTTTTCAGAACCACAGAACTCTGTGCCATTCAGACATATTCATGACCCACCAATTAAATTTAATTCAGTGCATAGGAAAGTGTTCATTCCAGGCTTAGAAATAAAAGTGAAATTTATTGAAAATGAAAGGAGTGTCACAACTCATCTCATTAATCCTAATTTGTAAGTTCATTTATTTAGCTTCTCATAATTTTAAATAGCCAATACATATTATCATAACAGTATAAATTAATTGAAAGAGTATTCACCCTATAATTTGCATGAAATACAATTAAATATTACAAATGGCTATTGTTGTATTACAATAAATAAATTATCTATGAAGTTCCTTGGTTGCAAGACAAGGTTATTTTTTATCTGTTAAGGTTCTCTTTATTTAACGGATCTACTGAATGTTTCCTGATGCTATTTCCTACTGAAACAATTTTGATGAAACTAGGTAGCTATGTTGTAACCTATCATACAAGTAGGCCACTTTAAAATAAGTATTGCTTTAGTTAGGAAAATAATAATAACTCATTCAATAATTACTTTAACATAAATTGTTTTGAGATCACCCTTAGTAAGTAAATAGAAATTTACCCATTATATGAATGCCTAACTAGTTCCGCTCATTCCAATATAATATTAATAGATAACATTTTGTCTTCTTACATTAAATGAGTTAGAAAGATATATGTATATATTTTGTAATTGTTGCAATAGCTATGTAACATTTCTTTGTTGTATTTTCAAATATAATATGTCTAAGCAACTAGTTAGAAGTAAAGGTGAAATCAATTGAAAACATTTTAAACAATTCTGCTTCACTCTTGATCTTTCTTCTACTTCTGCCACTTATGATTGTTAAGTGTAATAATTTCATGTCAATCAATGTCCATTATATAAAATAATATATTGCATTAATAACAAGGGTATTTCACTGAATGAAGTAAATGATGACCCAACTTTTTTCTTCAGGTACACAATACACTTACAGCATGGAGACTTCACATGGACGATCAAGAAACGATACAAACACATTCTTTACTTACACCAGCAGCTTGCGTTATACAGGGCCTCCCTCAAAATTCCTTTCCCAACTAAAACACACAAGTCTAGAAGAGCCAGCTTTAAAAACACTGTGAATACAGAGGAAACTGCTGAAAAGGTAGCCCTGGAAGCCCTGCCTAGAAGTAATTCAAAGAAAAGAGAGGGGCGGTTAAAGAGGAGGAAAGGTGCTTTGCCAAGGTAACTACTATTTTTGGTTTGGCAATAGGGGTGTAGACAACTTTTTTATTTTATAGATATACATGAAATATTTTTTGTTGTTAGACACTGTTGATGGCACTATTCAAGACAAAGGTTTCTATACACAGTATACTACTGCTACTTTCAATTAAGTCAACATTTTCTAGTGTTTACTATTATCAACCATAGTGGATTGGGGTGATACTGAAAATGACGAATTACCACCATATCAGGCATTGCTTTTTTATCAACTATTGATAAAGTTAACAAATTAAAAAACTTTTAGTAGATGAAAAAACATTATATTTGATCAATTTTGCATTCAGAATTGTATACTGAAAATATTAGAGGAAAAACTTTTAATTAGATACAACAAATATATTGCTTGTTTAATGCAATTTTCGGAATTTCCCCGCACCCGAAGAAATTTTCATAAGTTGAAGTGTTTTGGGGTAATCACCCCAAAACACTTCAACTTATGAAAATTTCTTCCTTTAATTAGGTTCCCAAAGAAACCAGAGGTCATGGTCACATATGAAGGCCTGCAACTGCGAATGAAGCAACTGGAAGAATACTTGTTCAATCTACTAAATATATCTATTTATAGAAATCACCACGAAACGGTATGTATATTGATATAGTTATTTGTGTTTAGTTCGTCTGATATGTAAAGCCAAAACAAAGATTATTTTGCTGATAACATTTTATCTAAATATCTATAGCTTATATCAATTTATACCCGGAAACTTTTTATACTCTACTGTGATAATTTTCATAAAAACTTTTAATTTCCTGCCATGAATATAATTAATAACGTCCCCCTATTTAATTGTTCCCCTATTTAGCATAACAGACTGCCGTTATTCTTCTTTTGACGAAATCTACTCATAAGGCATAAAAATTCTGAACCATAATTTTCAATGTTGGATTTTGAAAATTCAAAATTTCAATTATCAATATCCAACTTTACAATGGCTAGCTCAATCAGTAAGGTCGGATTAGTATTGTCATCCAAATAAAAAGCGAGCGAAGCCAACGAGTTGCGGCTGAGCGATCCACGAGCGCCATATACAACTTACGTCACAAAATTGATAGGGCTTACGTCATAATCTATAAAAATATATTTCTATGTCAAAAGACATAAAGAAAAGAAGTGACCGTTCTACTTTTTAACTTGTTATGAATTAAGTAAGATAAAGATGATTCTGTTATTGTTAAGTTAATGGAACTGCAAAATCAAGTTTATGCCATTCAGTGTTTGTAATAAAATAATGACATAAAGATGTTATACTATAGAGTACTATAATTTAAACTGCTACTTTGAAAAAATTGTCAATATTAGGTATTTAGATGGTAATACAGATGTTAAATAAATGATATTAAATAAACAACTTGCAGGTGAAGTTCCTTGAAGTATCAAATATGTCTTTTGTTTCGGAGCTGGGTGATAAAGGCAAAGAGGGCATGGTAGTAAAACGGACTGGCTCAACACGGCCTGGCCAAGCTGGATGTAATTGCTGTGGTTTATTAAGCAATATGGTCTGTGTTAGGTAAGTTTGAGTTATTCTTTATGACGGAGAATATTAATTGAACCAAGGTATTACAGTGAACTTAATAATTTTTTTGTTTATTTATGGAACTGTAACCCGTAATTGAATATACATTTAATATTTGTGGAAATCTCGATTTAAAAACATATCTTAAATATACAAAGGAAAATATTTATTTTCTATTTCTAGATGTAATTATTTCTGCACTGGTTTGGTGTGCGCAAAGTGGCAGGAGCGATGGCTGTTCGTGAAGGATACTTTCTTTGGTTACATCAGACCTTCAGATGGCATCGTCAAGGGAGTCATGCTTTTCGATCAGGGGTAAGTTATATTCATGAAGTATATGATTATTAAGTAGTTATATCTGTGTAGTAGTAGTATATCTGTGTCATTGTGTAGTTGAGGTTGTTGGGGATCCTATATTCTAAATCAGGGTCTAAAGTAGGTACTATTTTCTAAAAATTCCAGCTCTTCCAAAAACTTTTCCGAATAATAGCTTACCATAATAAAAGCTTTTAATAACATTTACGAGATCTCTATCGATTTATGTCTTGATCTGAGATCCCAGATATACAAGACTAAAGTTATATTATAGCTGGGAAAGGTTGTTTATGAGACCTTATCTAATTAGTATTGTTTCTGAAAGCAAACTTTTTTATAGATTTTTATACTGTTTATATTATTGATAAGTATTGTCTATTGACAGTCTGCAAGTTGTTCTATATTTTAAAGCGCCTAAGTGTTTCTCATATATTATTTCTCTCTTTATCCTTTTATTTTAGATTCTTTATCCTTACGTGTCTTTATTGACGCCTATATTTAAAATAATGTGTGGAAAAATAGATCCTTGAACTGCCTAAAAACCAAGAACAAACTGTTTGGAGCTGTTGTTTTTTAAGCAGCTTAAGTGGTTCTAATTTATTATTTTGAGATTCTTTAACCTTACTTGTCTTGCTTTTATACTAGCCTACAATTTATAGTCCGCAGTATTTAAGTATGATATCATAGTTTGGTGTATGTATAATCGGTCCTTCGGTCAAGGAGTTACGTATGAAAAGATAGTAAACTTACACATTGATATTAAAACGCGTATCTTTTCTAGTGACGTCATATGAATCACGTTATAAAAAGTATTATTGCGTATCATTATAAATGTGTACCGCAAAGTATTAGATATAATTTTATCAGTATATGAACGTTAATGATTTATGATAAAAAAAAACTATCTTTGTTTCATGCATCCCGCTAAAGTGTGAGTATTGTAGTGTTTGTATGTATCCAATGTGCTAAAATAGGTAACGTTTGAGGAGTTACTATTAACTTTGTGTGGGATAAAAGATATTTGAGTGCTTAATAGTATACTTTAAATGAACTTAACTTTATCATATAATGTCAAGTTTGCGAAACATCAGCACAATAAAAAACACAATAAAATCATAACTAGAACTTTGTTTTGTAAACATGTTGTTACAGAGATTAAAATATTTCTTTAATCATTATATTTGATCAATTTTGCAATAACAATTCACTACTTAAAAATGTTCTGAATTAAAAATGCTAAAATACCGCTTTGGCAGTCTGAGATGGAATTCGAACCCGAAAGGCGAAAGGTCATCCTTTCGCAAGCCTGCCAAGGGCGACTGCTCTAAGCTACACATGTCCTAACAGGACCAACAAAGTTTTTAAGCACTTGTTACTTTTTCACTACTGCAGGCAACCCCAAAGTTCGAGTCCCAATTCAGAGTGCCAAGGATAAAGTGGATTTTTAAGCGTTTTTTTTTTATATCTTATTTTTAAACGACAATCACGTCAACACTATGCCCTTGATAAATTGCATCAGATATTATAATTTAAGAACTATTAAATTTATGTCTACATGAATATCACATAACTATATGATGTACAATCTTCAGCACATCAAGTTATACAGAGATATCAGATTTCTCCATTTCAATTTACAACCTAAATGCATTGAATGCAGAGTTCAAATCAACGGCGGAATTTTTAAATATTCTGATAGCCCGGTATGCTGCTGTGTACGTACATTCTAACAAATATTTTGAAAATAGTTTAGTTTGATGATTCGATAGAAATTATGATATTAATATCACTCAAGTGTACCATCCAAGGTTCGAAGTATCGAGCGGCATGTACTCGACGGGAATGAATCATGGATTGCAACTGCTCAACCAGAGCCGCCAGATGGTGATCAAATGCTGGACCAAACGCAAGAGCAAGGAGTGGATGCAACATTTCAAGATGGTGGCCAACGAAACAGGTGATAAATTAAGAATGTTCATTATATCACATGACAAATATCCATTTTGCAAAGTATATTTTATATAGGAAAAGCAAGATATATTTAACTTAAGAAGCGCCATTTTCATTTGTAGTATAAGATCCCACTTTGTTAAGTGAGTTGAGTCCAGAGTATAATAGTTTACAATTTTTTCTTTAAACATTTCGCTGGTTAATAGACAAATTCTATACCGATCGAAAGTATGAAGCCTATGGACTATTTTTTCCCGTCACAACTCTTGGGTAGGCAGGTATAAACAGGTAATTCGATATTAGTAACTTGCACCGGTCTGGTTAATATAATTTAAATTAACTTAAAGATTATTTTATTGGGAAAAGGCTAGTATTAGATTGTTTGCAAAAAAACAGTTCTAAATCCCGGTTGTCGAGTTTAAAAAAGTGAAATATTGCGGCGAGCGAATGCGTGTGACAGAACTTCCCTTCATTGAAGAGTAGTTCGTTCATTGATTGAAAGAGAGTGCGCATGCTCTTTGCCTGTGGCAATGAAGTGGAAAGCTATTTAAAGTATTTTTTATGCATTAACTAACTCGGTGAAGGTCGTATTATAGTAGGATCTTAGACTATTAGTAATAGTTTTAGTTTTTAATACATAGTAGTCTGCCTTTTCTCGATATATAATCAATATTTTACACCAACTCGTGATTTGGCTGTAATTTAAAAACGCTAAAACTAATTTATTTGTATCTATATCATGAATGTACATATCTTATGAAGTGCCTAAATAAAAGGCTTCATAGTTTTATTTTTGACAATAATAAATCTCCATACAAACTTTCACTCCCCTTTTTGCAATAAAAAACCGTTTGTCAAGATCATCTCAATCTGTGAAATATTAAAATTAATTATGTAGTTAAAGCGCAACAGACATACATAGTTACTTTCGTATTTATAATAGGGCTAGTGACCCGGTTGTAGTCATTTATAAATTATGAACCCATTTTAAGAGTTACTAGAAAGTTAACTCTAACATATCATAGCCGTTAACGCTGTTAGTATAATGCAACATTTTAAAAAGCTATAATGCAAGATTTTAAAGCTATTCATGTTAAAGTAATATATTTGCCTATGCGTTAGTTAGAACGCTCTGAAGTTACAAATATCCAAAAATATCTTAATGCTCAATCATTTATTGTCTACATATGTAACAAAGAACACATGGCATAGGTATAAACGTGTGAACATATGACCCTGTATGACAAGAAATTTGGAACGACAGGCAGATCTTAAAAATATATCAAATAGATCACTCAGTTTGAGGTTAAGCAATTAATACAAATATATAAATTTTGTAAATTACAATAGTAATGTCAAGTAATAACCAGAGGTCGGAATTAGGTAGAGTTATTTATGTACTTGCATCGAAATGTTGATATTAATGTGGACCTTCCCGGGATTACTTTATTTCTTCTTTCTTTACTTTTTTCTTTCATTGATGTAAGTTTGGCAACTTCGTGCGTGCAGTAGTTTAAATTGTGTAAAAGTAAATAACTTTTTATTTAAAAAATCACGGGTTTTTTCTGCTCTTTAAAATTAATTTCGGGATTTGAGGCATATCCGCTTTATTCTTTCGCTGTATGAAATCAGTGTAAGTACATGAATAACTCTACCTAATTCCGACCACTGGTAATAACTTTTATTAACATTGTATTGATTGAGTATTTTTTTATATTATATTCAATGTCAAGTATTACGAAAATTACATGTATTATGTATCTATGTTAATGAATTATTTAAATAGTAGATACACCATTGATATTCTTACACTCTCGATATCCTCGCACTCCCAGCCCGTGCGTTCACATGTCCGAACGTGCATCACTCGTTCGCTCCCCCCAGAGCGGCCACGCCCGTGGGCACGCTAGTGGACGGCTCCTCGTACATGGCGGCGGTGGCGGACGCGATGGAACTCGCCAAAGAGGAGATCTTCATTGCGGACTGGTGGCTCAGCCCCGAGATATATATGAAGAGGCCCGCGCTCAACGGCAACTACTGGAGACTGGACTGTATACTCAAGAGGAAAGCGGTCAGTGATAACCAGAGGTCGGAATTAGGTAGAGTTATTTATGTACTTGCAACGAAATGTTGATATTAATGTGGACCATTCCCGAGATTTCTTTATTTCTTCTTTCTTTATTTGTTTCTTTCATTGATGTAAGTTTGGCAACGTCGTGCGTGCAGTAGTTTAAATTGTGTAAAAGTAAATAACTTTTTATTTAAAAAATCACGGGATTTTTTCTGCTCTTTAAAATTAATCTCGGGATTTGAGGCATATCCACTTTATTCTTTCGCTGTATGAAATCAGTACATGAATAACTCTACCTAATTCCGACCACTGGTGATAACGTTACATACAAGTGGGCCGAATTAACATGACACCTAGATATTAATGACGTTTGTTTAAAGTGCAGCACTCGAAAAGTGATCATTTCGAATTTATCTTACCTTAAATGTCTCAACAATAGGGGTCATCATCATCAGCCCTGTTACGACCCAACCGCAGGGGCTAAGGCCTTCCATATGGATAGTTAAGGAGGATCGGCCGATTAACGACCACAAACGCAGCCGGAACCAACGGCTAAACGTGCCTTCCGAAGCATGTAGTAGCTCGAGATAATAATTTTTTGGTCGCCCATCCCGTGATCGACACTTGCGAAAATTGCTTAACAACATCGTTAACGGGCCGCAATGCTTATCCACTACACCACCAAGCTACAACAATAGGGATGATGACGAATGTTTGTTTGTCTGTAAATAAGTAGATTAATAAAGAATAATTTTCGTAATTAATAAACTACGGCGATATATTGAGTTGAAATGTCGCCTGACGTCACACCTATGTACATTTTCTATATAGTCGTGACGTAACAAACCGACGCCTTATTATATTTTTTTTATTTTTGTATAGGAAGAAGGTGTGAAAATATTTATAATGCTGTACAAAGAAGTTGAAATGGCTCTCGGCATCAACAGCTTCTACAGCAAAAGCAGACTGGCCAGTGATAACATCAAGGTATAGTAACATTTGATATAGTATTGTTGTTGCACTTTGAACTCATTGGGGTATATGGGTGGTCAAAAAACTGTTTTCCTCCAGATAATCGAAATGTGTTGAACCGTATTTTTTTTATATTTCTTGTCTTTAATAACAAATTCGAATTATAAAAAACATTGTATTAGGCCTGTGATACAATTATAAGAATTCTTCCATTTTATCTAGGTCCAAGTCTATCAATAACCACACGTCTAATAGAGTTGTAATATCACGTTTCCATGAAATCTTGCTCACGCCAGATATATTCTGGTTTCCAAGTCCTTTGCAGGAATGCACTATTTTAATTGAAAGTTCATACTCTGAGTCGCACTTGGCATTATGTTCGGGTGGGTGTGATCGCGACCTTATTTAAAGGTCTTGATCCGTCCCTATCGGGCGCGCATACTAGTTTGAAAAATCCGTCGTTCAGTTGATAGAATTAACACTATAAACTAATTATTATAAACTAGTGGCCGCCAGTGACTTCGTCCGTGTTTTCCACTATTTCGTACGTTGAGAACGATAGTGACACAATGCAAAAATTGCGATTTTGAGTAATGAGCGTTTGAAGTTCAAGAAATTGTAGTCAGCCCCTTTTAACAACGTATCGTCATTACGCCACCTAGCAATTTCTATGCAAGCTACGTTCACAGGGATCTTTGCATTTTAAAGTTTATACTTTACAAAGAAAAATGTTGCCAAAAGTAAAAAATACGTCGTTTTTGGTTAGTGACATTGTCATTCTCAACGTGCGATTTCTTCGCTCCTAATACTTGCAGCGTGATGTTATATAGCCTAAAGCCTTCCTCGATAAATGGTCTATTCAACACAAAAGGAATTTTTCAATTCGAACAGTAGTTCCCGAGATTAGCGTGTTCAAACAAACAAACAAACTCTTCAGCTTTATAATATTAGTATAGATTAGCAATCCACGATCACACAATCTCAATCGTGATAATGTGATATAAGCTAGCCTATTCCTTTCTCAGAACAACCATGCGTGAATGCGTGTCTTTTTATAAATGCACCACAATATAATGTGTATCAAAAATGAACTCTAATGGGATCGTTATAACGTAGGTTTTCCGTCATCCAGACCATGCACGTGCCGGAGTGTTATTTTGGGCTCATCACGAGAAGATAGTATGCGTGGATCAGACCGTAGCCTTTGTAGGCGGCATCGATCTATGTTATGGCAGATGGGACGACCATAAACACAGGTATTTTATAAGTAACATTGAATGCCGACAAAATTCATATGTTTAGGCGCTGAAGTATATATTATATTCAGTATTTTTTAAGTCTAAAAAAATTATTATATCAAATACAGGTAAATAAAATCATCGGTAACTTATTCTAGTATACTGTATAGTTATAAAATGTCTGCAATCGATTTTAAACTTCAATTCCAATGAGTTGAAGCTATTTATTTTTTATTAATATGTGTTATTATCTTATGTGCTTTATCTTTTTTTACGAAGTCATACTCTTGCAGTAAAAATATTTAGATTATATTTCAACACCGACTCGCCAAACTATCACTCTTTTTGTATGTAACTCCTCTCTTTATTTTTCTATTTTCCCTTTCCACATTTTTACGAAGATAAATTTGTGATTTCAAACATTTTCGAACATACCAACAGGCTTACAGACTTAGGCAATATATCTCAACCTCACACCGCTATTAAGACTAAGAAGAAAACGTCGAGTTCTCCCGGCGGTGGGCTGTACTTACCGCAGGGTAATGGCATAGAGGCTGCCATTGAATTAGCTCGTTCCTCTAAGGATCTCGTAATAGGACTCAACGAGTGAGTACAATGGACGTCTATTTAAAATTACGCGTATAATTATGTTAATTATACTTGATAAAAAGATGTAAAAGTCTGATGTAAAAACAGGACCCAATTAAATGCCCCTTTCGCCACATTGCATTCAGAGAGTAGTAAGCACAGAATACTTTAGAGTGAATGTAGTAGGATATCGATTTTTTTTTTAATTTATGATGAGAAAGAGTGATATTTTATACATCATTGCTGCATATTTGAATGTCAGAATGAAAGAAGTTGTTCTTTTCTAGTAGACATTTTCGCAAAAGTTTTCTGACCTGTGTTAGTGCTGTCATCTACCGATTGTCTATATCCATTACAGATTGCCTGCTTTCTGCATAACATGAACAGGAATTATTATTTTTCAGTGTTATACCTATAGATGAATCTGAAGAAACTCCTAATGGCATATCTGACGAACAAACTACTGGAGATAGTCCACAAAGCAATCTACCAGTTTTAGAACCAGGCGATCAGTTACTCATCAACTCGTCGAAATCAAACCAAACTCAAGATATGAACTTGTTCGAAACTCATGAAGTGCAAAAACGGAACGTACTCGATAAAATTACGGACCGAGGGAAAGAAATCATGAGTATAATATATCCGCCTTACGAAGAAGAGAGGAATGAGCAGAAATTCGACGATTCCGAGAGGAAGAAAGCGCAGAAATACGCTATGTCAAATGACCAAGTGTTGTTGACTGAAGCGTTTGGTATTAAGCCTAGTGATATAAGCAGAAATGTAAGTCAACCTACCCCGTTAGCTCAGGTGGTCGAGGGAAGAGTTATTACGGAGAGCACGAAAGATGCATTGGAGGGTTTAGAAGGAAACTCGAAACTGTGGATAGGGAAAGACTACACAAATTTCATCGTTAAAGACTTTAATAGTTTAGATCTGCCGTTTGTAGGTGAGTGCCTTTTTTACTAAAGGATCTTCCATAAATTACGTCACATGTATTTCATTAAACAATAATGATTTGATAGGTGAATAATTATGAACCCAAGGACTCCGTCCTTATTACAGCTGGCTAATTTTGTGACACTCACACCTCTAGTGTGACACGATATAATTTTCAATTTTACATTGCTTAAATTAAAACTGCAGTTTCGCCATTTTGCTTGTTAAATTATGTTTTAAATTGAATTATTGTTATAATTTATAGTCATTTAAATAATATTGACTATTCATATTTAATAACTTTACAATAGAGTCAAAATCAAATCAAACATTTGAAAAAAATATTTGAGGTTATCCAATTCCATTTTGAATGGATAACCTCAAATATTTTTATTATATTTGAGGTTATCCAATTCCATTTTGAATGGATAACCTCAAATAATTGAGGGGAGGGGGGGGCAACCCCCCCCCTCAATTCGTGACGTAATTGATGAATGACTGCGAAACCTTTAATGCATTATAGCTAAATATTTGTATAATTAGCTTCATCTTTTTCTCATTTATCATTAAAGAAGGATAATCCAAATTTTAATAAATGTTTGCGATTATTTATGCGTCCAAATGCTTTAATTTACAATATCTCGATCAATAGCATTACTTTTATTGTGTTTTAGACTTAGTTGATCGGAACACAACGCCTAGAATGCCTTGGCATGACATCGGTGTCGTTGTACAACGAGAAGCCGCTAGAGATATTGCGAGACATTTTATACAGCGATGGAATGCTATAAAGTTAGAGAAAGCAAGGTAAATATTCTCAATTTTAAGTATATTTTTTCATTGTTTAATAGAGACTATATTAGGTTAAGTTGTTATTAGTCACATTCGAATTAAAGAAATAAATACCTGTAACTGATATCATATGTATAATATTTTTGTGTTTTCTAGGCAAAACCCGAACTATCCGTATCTGTTGCCAAAATCGTACAATGATATTAAACCACTACGTGATTTCGAAGCGCTGTTAGGCGTTGACATCACCAACGTGTCATGTCAGGTAACAAAAATACTTATCACAAATAAAATTATTGTAGTCATAAGAACTAGAAACATTAATATAAATCAGATAATAAACAATTACCAAGGAATATAACCTAATCATCACTGGCATGCCCTTTTTCCAATTGCTTAATGTCAATTATATTCTGCTCCCATATTTCTCGATCAGCCCTGGGATCTGCTCAATCTTGAATCGATAATAACCATTTCGTGTCATAAGCAGTGGTTGGAATTAGGTAGAGTTATTTATGTACTTACACTGATTTCATACAGCGAAAGAATAGTGTCGATATGCCTCAAATCCTGAGATTAATTTTAAAGAGCAGAAAAAATCCCGTGATTTTTTAAATAAAAAGTTATTTACTTTTACACAATTTAAACTACTGCACGCACGACGTTGCCAAACTTACATCAATGAAAGAAAGAAATAAAGAAATTCCGGGAAAGTCCACATTAATATCAAAATTTCGATGCATGTACATAAATAACTCTACCTAATTCCGACCTCTGGTCATAAGTGAAGTAAATTTCGAAATGATATAGAAATAGAATCTGAGACACGTATGATCAATCAATTTTACTTTGTATTTTTATACAAAAATGGAATCAATAGAATTTCTTCTCTAAATGACGTAAATTTGGACATATGAGTGAATTCGAATTTGGGTTTGGATTTTTACAGAATCGTCCAGTAGCTGTCGTCTCGGCATTCATTCTTATCTTACAGTCTATCCATATTCTCATTTTCATCATATTTCTATCCGCATTCATGCTAAAAATCCTATTTGTTACGTGCAAATGTTTGTCCTCAACATATAGTCATGTCCATACTAATATAATCCTTTGCTTCTCAGTTTTCCTCTTACAGTCTATTCATTTCATTTTCGTCATATTCCGTCCACATTCATGCTGAAAACCCTATTTGTTACGTGCAAATGTTTGTCCTCAACATATAGTCATGTCCATACTAATATAATTCTTTGCTTTTTCTTCACTGGCGCTACTTTTATGTAGTCATTCTTCACTTTGTCCATTCTCGTCACTCCACACATACATCTTTTACAACTTTTCATTCGTTCATTTATCTAGCTAACTTATAATGACAAGCGCGTTGACGTTCATGTTTGTTTTGATAGTCCGTCTGGTGCTGAATATAACAATAGAATTTTATAGCTGTCTCAAATTGAAATGTATGATAATTTATATCAGTTTCAATTAAAGATTAAATATTGGTTAAAAAAAATATATATTCTATGCCAGCCAAATAACAACGGGACTGTCAAACGGCCATCTTGGTTTGCATCACGCTTCAACGTCAGGGTGTAAAAAAGGAACGGAAATGTGTATTTTTAATATTAACTCGCATTATAAACTACCGGATAATCAAGACAATTCTATCGATATCATAATTTCAGTCCATTAAAATTGTATAAGATGTTAGCTTCTAGGTAATTATTAAAAGTTAGATTATATAAAATGATAAATATTAAGATTCTTCTAATGTGTCCCCGAGTTACAACTACCGCCATGATCATAGCTGTTTTCGTATACTACCCCCATTAAAATTGTATCATCATCATCAGCCCTTTATTTCGTCCCCACTGCAGGGGCTCAGGCCTTCCTTATGGATGGTTAAGGAGCATGGCCATGACCCTCCACGCTGGGCCAATGCTGATTGGAGGGTATTAACGACTACTAATGCAGCCGGGACCAACGGCTTAACGTGCCTTCCGAAGCACGGAGTAGCCCGAAATAATAATTTTTTGGTCACCCATTCCGTGGCAGGCCCTTGCGAAAATTGCTTAACGACAACGATCGCGTGCCGCGGCGCATATCCACTACGACACCATAAAATTGTATAAGATGAATCATTTGGAAATCCGGTAGTCGACTGGAGCACAGCCTAGCGCCGGAATTCGTAAAGTGAAGTTGAAGTGTCAATTATAATTCGAATAATGTATTGTGAAACGGGAACTCCGTGTTTGTATCATGATGTAACTCTCGTTTTTGGCTTGCTGTAGTCTGGTAACTGGTAGATATCGTTGGGCAGGTGTTGCGCAGTGTATCGAGCTGGTCGTGCGGCTTCCTGGACCCGGACACGGTGGAGCAGAGCATCCACGAGGCGTACGTGGACACCATCACCAGAGCGCAGCACTATGTCTACATAGAGAACCAGTTCTACATCACCCTGTCCCGCACCAACCCGTACGTGAGGAATCAGGTAAAAATATGGGACATAGCACAGAAAGAAATATCAAATACTGTATACAAACGACGGCTTTATTGATATGCAGCTAATGGTGATAGAAATGAATAGATAAGTAACGTAAACTCTCATTTAGTACAGGGAATATAGTGTAAATTAGGGTTACTATTTTGTAATCCTAATATTATAAATGTGAAAGTTTCTATGTTTGGATGTTTGTCCGTCAACCACACCGAAACTATTGAACGGATTTTGATGATATTTGGTATACGGATAGGGTATTAGCTGACTTTGATAATAGGATACTTTTCTGATTTTAATAATAGGTTACTTTTATCTCACTAAACATTTCCCTAGGGACTACGCTTGCGAAGTCGCTGGCGAAAGCTAGTTAATTCAGTAAAGTACACTTTTTACCGATTATTAATATTGTCCTTTTGTATTCAAAGTGGTGATTTTCGGGAAGGCTCTTATCTATTACTTAATTTCGTAAGTTAATAAGTGCTCACCACTTCAAAGGAATCTGAAATTTGATGAACCTTTTTATTTCCCTACTGCAACTGTTCCGATTACTGGTACAAGTCCCGCAAATCGCTTATGTGCTAGAATCTCGTCTGAATAACACCCGCGTGACGTCATTTATGCCCATGGCAGCTATTATCGTACACAATACATTTGTAAAAATTTTTGTTCCAATTTTTTTTAATAGAAAGTATAGATAGCACAAAATGCAAGAAATAAATAATTTATTAAATATTCATATATTGATGAATAATAAATATTGTCATAATAACTTAATAGCTAAGATTGTTAATTTATTGCGGAACTTTCGGAAAAGGCCAATTTTATAGTTATATGGAGCATAAAGAATTAACATGAAAAATAATTAACATCGCTTTGAAATAACGTGATAACAAAAGGAAAGGATTATTTAAAACATCGCCAAAAGCAATTAAAAAATGAGAGACATTAGATATATTTATTTTTAGCGAAAACAGGTGTACTTATTGGAATTAAGAGTTAACTAGTTAACGGCACTGATTTTTGAGCACAACTACGTCACCAAAATGGTTGTCAGACGCATTAGATATTTGCGGGTATTATATTAACATGGACATGGTTGATATTAACATGGACATGGTTGATAATAACATGGACATGGTTGATATGAACATGGACATGGTTGTGGTAATTATTATAGATAGGCGAGGCGCTGTTCAACCGTATAATGCGGGCGCACCGGTCCGGCGACAAGTTCCGTGTATTGGTGGTGATGCCGCTGCTGCCGGGGTTCGAGGGCGAGGTGGGCGCGCCGTCCGGCACCTCGCTGCACGCCGTCACGCACTGGAACTACCAGAGCATATCCAGGTACGCTACTGGCACCCCAACGTGAGGGTACACTGCGGGCGAACCTCTCTGGGGCTATTAAGCGAATACCCGCTGAATAGACCCAATAACATCGTCGCTCGCCAGGCGTAAAGCATTTTAACTACACAAGTTTAGTTGAAAATATCTGTTTTTCAGGTATACCCAGCACCACGTCCGGCTACTGCAATATGTCAAAGGAGATTGTCTTTATTAATACCATATTACGAAAAAAAATATGTATTTTTATATTGGAGATGCGTCGAATATTTATTTGATAACCGGTATTCGGCATCTTTTTCACTTTATGCCGGTTATATTCGGTTCGGGTACTTTTATTTTCTTGACTTCACGACACGGTATAGAACTAAATGACGAAACTTCTTTTGTAAAATTTATGTCATATTGAAAATCAAAAAATCCTAGGAAACAAAAATATTATTTTATAAACTGTAGTCAACATTTTTAAACTTAGAATTGAGATTTTTTTTTTGTTTTTTAATATATTGACGTGGCAAATTGAGGCACAGAGACACAATAAAAGACAAGCAAAAAAGAAGCATACATATTCTAATATTCCAGCCAGTTGATATGAATCCTCATACAAAAAAAGGATTCTCCTTTCCACAGTTGATTTTGAGGTCTACCCTCAATGAAATAACCCTTCATATGTGTGTTACTTTCTATTCGTTCATTTATTATTTGACCATAAAGTAGACAGAAAATCCAGAACTAGAATAATCGTGTTTAAAAAATTTTAAAAATTTAAAAAGACATGCATTTAAAGCTTGCTAATTTTTCCTACACCATCAATTTTTCATACAATTTTATAAAAAAAAAAGAATTATTAACCCAATAAATCTAAAGTAAAATTTATTTCTTTATGGTAGTAAGTGTATAGAAAATATAATTTAAATCATGTAATCTGTTTACTGAATGATTTTGGCTATTAAAATAAATGGTTGCAAGAAACCTAGCAGCTCTTAACAATAGTAACCACATTTACGTGAAATATACACAGATTGAATAATTGGAACTAATGTTGACTTTGGTTTATTGTATAAGGAGTCGCGAAGCCATCCTCACTCGCCTCTACGAGGCCGGCGTGGAGGATCCTTCAGAGTACATCACGTTTCACGGTCTCCGCACCCACTCGGTGTTGGAAGGAGAACCGGTCACTGAACTAGTGTACGTGCACTCGAAACTGTTGATCGCCGATGACAAGACTATACTCTGTGGCAGTGCTAACATCAATGACAGATCTATGATCGGGAAGAGGGACTCTGAGATCGCCGTTTTATTGCAGGTCAGTTGTAATGACATATCCCTTGTTGTAATAGAACTTTTAGAAGTCATTAAATAGTATTTCACCATAGTTTAGTAGCACAATCACACATCAAACAGACACAGAGTTACTTTTGTACATATTTGAAATATGAACAAGTTGCCAAAACACGAAAATAAACTACTCAATAGTATCACAGATAAATAAAAATGTTGGTTTAACAAAAATACTAGTACGTGCACCCCTAATAGACGGTCTGTGATTAGGATTACTAGTTGAAAAAAATCAGAAAGCCCGATTTCCATAGAAAAATCCTGAGATTTTGTAGCAGTTTGAAATTTTTCTCTCAAATGCACTCAATGATTTACAAAAGTCAAATTATATCGTTTTCATACATTGCGTATCTCGTGGGATGTCGCTCACTCGTTGCACATCGCAAAGTTAGGTTAGGTTTATATTACTTTTTATCAAAGATAACCTTAAAATATTTCAATTAAAATCCTGAGATTTGCATAATCTGACCGCAATCCTGAAGAGAGTCCAAAAATCCTGAGATATGGTAACCCTATCTGCGACTGGATGGTTTATTTTCTTGCGTTCAACAAATTGAGTGTTACTGTTATATTGTGTTTGAAATTTACTATTTTAATAAATAACTAAAGAGTTTTACTTGTTTGCTATAAATAACTTGTTTGCTATAAATAGTAAGATAGATAAGACGAACTCAAAAGCAATAGATAAAGTATCATACCTTAGTCGTTATATATATATACTAGCTTTTGCCCGCGACTTCGTCCGCGTGAAAAAGTTACTTTAGGCGACATATATTTTCCAAAAACGCTGTTGTTTTTTAAGCTGATGATGAAATTACCTTGATGTTTAAGTTCGAAGATAGTACAACAAAAAAACCAACAAATGTCTAATATGTTTCAGCACTTTATCTTTGAAACTTTAGATATATTAATTCAAAAAAACAGTTCTGAAGTTTACAAAAAACTTAACCGAAAACGTAATCTACCCAAAATTCTTTGAAAGAAACGTTACCGCAGATTACTTTAGAATAAACGCCATCTAGAACACAGCGCCATCTATTGGGTGTATTTGCAACCTAGATGTCAAACGATATTGAAGAATTTTATCTATGAGTCACGGTACACCGCCATCTATGAGAACTTCATAAAACTAAACAGTAAATAAACACTTGCTTAAGAAACAATTAATTAGTACATTTTATTCGTTTACATTCACGACATAGTTTTGGAGTTTATTGGCAACATACATCGTGACACAAAATTTTTATATATATAGATAATTGACGTCTCACCAACGACTTTTAAAGCAGATTACGGTCTCAATGCATCTCGCATACCGTAATCTGCTTTTTTAAAAAAAATAACCTGCTAAATTTTCTTCCTCCAGGATGAACAGTTTGTAGACGGCACCATGAACGGTCAAGCGTTTCCTTGCGGTCGCGTCGCGGGGGCGCTGAGGAAACGACTGTTTAGAGAACACTTAGGCCTCATGGAGGAAGACTTGGACGTGCTCAGGGTCAATATAGATGACCCGTGCAGCGACCACTTCCATAGGAACGTATGGAAGGCCACGTCTAAACGGAACACCGATTTGTATGAAGAGGTAAGTGTAAGAATGTATCTATTCACTTTTATTTTAATGTAACATTCTTATAACACGTATTTAAAATCTGATAATGTACAGCACGTCAGGTTATTCCGCAGTTTGATTTCGACTCTACTTTTCATGTTCTAAGGTTTACAATCAATTGCATAAATATTAAAAGCAAAAAATAAATTATGTGCCCCTTCACTAGTCATCTGCTGAAAGACCAAGTAATCTGAAGTCGAGCGTCAGTGAACGATGTTATTTAGATTAACATTTCGGTTTATTCAAAATTTTGATTTGTTTGTATGGGCCTTATTTCTATAGTTTTTCTAAAGTAACCAAAACATAAACAACTAATAGCTATGATTAATGCCTCAGACATTTTAAGCATTATTCATTTTAAGACTGTTTTTTAATCACGTCATTGACCACATATTTTTTTTAATCAATTTTGAACTCAACTAATAATATTAAGGTAATGATTTTAAACCTTAAAATTAAAGTATTAAAGCATAAACTTAATAACAAAGTATATAACTTTGGATAACCTGAAATGCTGTTATGTATACATACAAGACTGGCCACCTATCTTTTTTATCATATTTGGCAATGCAAATTTTTTTGTATCGTTTAATAGGTTGTGTTTCTTATATCTTTATGCCTTAATTAACGCATACAGATTCATAAAACTCATAAAATCAAAGGTATATTAATTTTTATAACAAACAGGTATTCCACTGTCTACCCACCGATTCCGTCCACACATTTGCTGAATTGAAACGTTACCAAGAGGAGAACTGTCAGACCCTGTGGCACACGGACAGAGCGCTCGCCAACAGGAAGATAGACCTAATACAAGGTCACTTGGTAGATCTGCCACTCGATTTCCTCTGCAACGAGGTACTGACGCCGAGGAACACTTCGATGGAGGGAATGATGCCGACCTCGTTGTGGACATGAGTATTTTTCTCCCTTTTTTTACATAGGATTTGTTAGCTATCAATCAACTTCTACATGCTCTGTCCTACTCTATGACATTAAAAATACGTAAGTTAGAGCAAGACAGACAACGAAACAGTCTACGATAAAGTCCGCTTTCATGAAATATTTACAGCATAACGTGCGTGTGATTATAAGGGTTCTCGGTTCGAGATAATTTTATATTAATATATTTTCCGAAACTTTTTATATGACTTGGAGATCCACAATCAATGGCTTTAGTACTATAGATATATATGGAAATTTCCATTTCTACTCTCCGTGAATAATTAAATTTACCTGTTATGAAATAAGAGAAAGTTTAATTCTTATTTCAAGACACGTAAATTGAATTATCACCTAAATATTTATTTATATATACAATGTCAAATCATACCTACACAGTCAGAAAGTTTCAATTAATAGATATTACCTGTTGTTATTAGTGTAGAACCTAATTAAGTATTCATTTGGTAACCAATAATTATAAATATTAATGCTCATTTTTAAACAAAATAATCAATTTGAAAAAAAAAATGTATCACTTATGAATTCCTAATTGAAATAATTACTACATCAATTCCAACCAATTTTATATTTATTTTCCGCCTAAGTATAAGGTAAAATAGTTAGTTTTACCTTTACTTTTAATTTACCTTTTTCGACAACATTGAATCATCATAAAAATAGTCAATACCGTAAATAGATTACAATTTTGTTGAGCTCCCACTCGTCATGGATATTCAACAAACAATCATAATTCGTCATAATTTTTAAGAAATCATTAATCTGTCCTGTAATTTTATCACATTCTTTACTTAAGTACAAATTTTAGGTTGTAATTTTAGTATGTATGTGGAATTGAATATAGTTCACATGACTATATCTTTAAACTCGATTATAAGTGTGTCAGTATACCTTTTTTTATTGAGATTATTTTAATAATAGGTGCAATAACTAGTTTTTTTTTTTCTACAATGTATTTGTAATTATTAAGCAAAATATATTGAATAATCAGTGGTGCTACAAAAGTTTACAACATTGAATTTATTTTAAATGTATTTATTTGATTCCTCTGTTGTGTATAATTAAATATACCTGATAATACGTTAATATATGTGCGTTGATAATATTAATTTGTAGTGTTAATAGGTTTATTATAATCTCTGTCGTTTAAGGTGTTCTATGTATTATAATATTTTTTTTAACGTGAATACTACTGATGATTGCTTACCAGATGACGCTCTAACAAATCTAATAACTCATAATGTAATAGAAATACGGCCTACTATTTTTCTTGTACTTCCCATGTCTTGCTATTATGTTCGAAAAATAAAAATTACAAACACAACATTTATAATAGAAATATGATGACCTCATAAGATACCGGACGCATTGCGCAGAAGCGACAAAGGCTATAAACATCCCCACTGTAACGGACATTACCTAATAACTAAATTCCTTACTTATATTTTAAAACTATTAATTCTTATACCTGTTTAATTAAAATATTTTTTTCAAATAAATATTCCTTTCAAAATATGCCTATATTTAAATATGCCTACTGTCTGTTATCTATCACGTCATAAGTCACATTATATTGTAAGAATATGTATCCTAAGCAGTGCCGAATTAGCCCATAAGCAATATAAGCAATTAACTCGGGCGTCACAACTCAGGGGCGTAGAAAATACAAAAAATTCTAGCACAAAGCAGTAAGGCTTGAAATTCCGCGATTTTTTTTTACTTCGCGTATTTCTCTCGATCTTCATACATATCCAGGTACGTAATGATTTATATTATAGTATTAAATATGTATTTTTTATGAGGGGAGGGATAAGAGGTACGAAAAAATACATTGGCATAATTCTGGTAAGCAAATTGGTACTTTTCACTAAAATTGTTTTGTTTCCTTAACATTACTGTTTATCACGTAATATTGACTACCTCTAATTATAACCATTCCTAGAACGTTATTCATTCCTATTTAACCACCTAAAATAAATTAATAGTATTACTACTTTACTTCTTTTATTGGCACAGAACATTCCATCAGTGCAGAAGGCACTAACCAAAGGGGTAAAGTGATGCAAGAATAAATCCCAATAACAAATTACACAGTTGAAATGCATTTCTTTTATTGATTTTTCTATATTTTAATATTAAATGTCTTTTTGCAATAGTATTAAAATGAGGGAATATTAAAAATTTATATAAATATTATTTGTTGATTAACTATTTTATTGAATTATTAATACTTTCCTAATTTAATTGACTGATCAAATTTATCTGACCAATGTGAAAATATTTTTGAAATTTATATGATGTTATGACAAAAATTACGCAATTCTGAACTAAAATGTTAAAGTGTTTTGATTTAAATTATATTGAAGAGAATTGATAGTTTCTGTCACCTGATATGCTGTTGCTTGTATGTACATTATAATAAAATGTTACTTTTTTATCGATGTAAGTATTTGTTTGCCGTGTCTATGTTGAAAAGAACCAATAAAAATGTTATATATAAAAATGGTTTTACTATTAATATATAGGTTACTGTATTTCCTTAAGCTATTGCTGTGTAACAAATGACAAAAGGGTTTGTCATATAGTTCATTAGCTATTCTAAACGGTACTGTGGCATTGCCCATGTGTATTCAGATAGTATATTATTATTTTATTGAAATACGTCGCCTTCCTCTATCGAGAAAACTCGATGTATCAGTGTATCAAAATTTACTTTCACATTTAGATTTATTAAATTACGTATCAATGTCAGTATACAACACGAACTGTCCCGTTTTTTGGTTGTCTGTCCCGACGTGCCTGTCCCGTTTTTTGGTTGTCTGTCCCGACGTGCCCGAAGGTAACACCTGCACGCAAAATTGTAATGTTGAGAAAATTTTGTGGGACGCATACTGTTGCCTTCCTTCGCATTAGCCATCACGTAAAGTTCATTAATTTAGGGTTATTTATGGTTATTTTAGAAGGAGGCCATCTATAAACTAAATTACAAGAAACCATGTTTTTTTTTAAATGATATCCCGTTTTTGATTCCAAGAAAAATTGGTTACGTTATGTATATGCCGCAATCTTCTTTCAGCCAAAAAACTAACACATCTATTGTTCTATTGAATTCTTCTATTCGATATGTGTTTTAGTACTGTATGCATGTAATGAGGAAGTATTCAAAAAAAAAAGGAAAGTTAAAATTTTATTTCACTAGATGGCAGCACAAATTGTTGGATCTAAACGTCAATTCATGACGTTAAATCAAAGAGAATAGAATTGTCAGTGTTGTTATGGATCTGATAACTCGGATTAATATCGAGTTTAAATTTAATTAGTTCGAGTTATGCAAACGCAACTCGATTAATATAAAGTAATCTTTGAATAAATTTCTTTTTATTTGTATAGCGAAAAATGGAAACTAACATAATGGAAGTAAGTACAGAGTTTTTTTATTTATGGAAATCATTTAAATTAATGCTATGATATAATTAAAAGTAGCATTTAGCTACGGTATACAATAATATAACCGCCAAATAGTTTTTATAAATAAAATATTTATGCCATAGTAGGTCTAGGAATTTGTCATTATAATATTTAACAAAAGTTCTGAAAACAATCACAACTAGGTAAGATAGTTTTATTGCTATTAGTTATTTGTTGAATATACTAAAACAAAACTACATCAAAACTCATTAATATTTTTTTATTATGTATGGTGATTGAATGAATTGGGTATATTAATCAGCAACGAAAGTTATAAAAACGATTCTTATGATAAAAAAAAAGTTTATTATCTACACACCTATGAAATATACTAGGTATTCGTATAAAATAACATAACTTCTGGCTAAAATAACGTTTTGGTAGCGTGCAAATAACTTGTGCTTTCGAAATAAAGATCTTAATAAACTATGATCAGTTATTAAATCTTATATTCATAATAAAATGATCTTAATATGTTTATTAATGAGTGTTTGTTCTCTGAATGTTTTCAGCAATCAACGAGAGACGTCTGCTCTAAACGAACAGCAAGGTTATAACTTTAAATTTCAAAATCCCAAAAAAGATTAAAATTAATTTGAAAGTATGATATTATAAGAAACACAAAACGATGTCATATTTATGAATTTTCGATACTAAATTTACTTATATTACGTCGGAAACAAAATTTGAATGAATATCATAAACAAAATCCAAACATCGCGAGTGACATCTAGTATGATTTCAAGAACTAATTTTTATTTTTTAATTACTTTCTCATTGTAATCGTTTACATAATGGTCGATTCATCGGAACCTAATTGATCATTTTAAGGTTGCTTAGATTTTTATATCTAGTAAGTGCTTGCTATAGTAGCGTCACGTATATAGCAATTAGCGCCATCTTGTGGTAACGTCGTCATTTAATGTCCCGCTGCTACAAAACGTAAAGCACATTTTCTTATCCGCATATTGTGATTGTAGATGTCGCTTGCGTAGGTAAATACGAATGATATTATTTTGTTTCATTCCGCATCTCAAATAGATGTTTTATTTGTTTGATCGAAGGTTTTCTGCTACTTTATTCTGTAACTCTGGCAACTTCTGAGGAGAACTGAAATAAAATATTCATAGTGGGCAAACGGTTGGTTTAATACTCTAACTAAGACAAGCGGTCGTTCATGCAAACCCGGATCTACGATTTTTTCTGAGCGGGACAGAAACTTGATATTGCGCGCGTCTACCCCCTCCCCATAATTTTTTGTTTTTTTGGTGTGCCTTTATGTTTTCTTTCTATGGGCTTTATATTTTGGTCTTATTAGCCCATTATACCTATTAAGCTTACATTAGGTTTAAGTGCCTACGTTAATAATTATCACTTATTGCTAAATAAGCAAAATTGTACTTATTGTCATCAATGTATTTACGACCCAACTGCTGGGACAAGGCCATCCCGAGGAGAGAATTAAAAATATTGCACCGTTAAGTACAAGAGCAAAGTAGTTGGAAATAATCAATTGTTGGTCACCCATCCGATGGTCGGCCTTCGCGGCTTCGTTGCTTCATACGCGGGTAATAAATTATGTATGTTGTTTTAAAGTAGATACCATGCGACATCTAGTTTGCCTTCCCGAGTCTCAACAAAAAAAAATTGTGTAAAGAAAAATAAATCGTAATATACATACCCGTTTTTTTTTTATTAATCACGAAA